GAAATCTAACTGTCCTGCTAGGTCAGATAGGGTGGGCACACTCCTAATTCATTTTCTTAAATATTGCCATCTGATGGGAGCCCCTAGCTCTCCCCCCCCCCAAGTTTGGCAGGCCTCTCCCCTCCTAGCCTTCCATAAGGCTTTGAAGACCTGGCTTTCCCCCCAAATGTTGGGAGATAATCTGAACTTTAGAAGTTTGATTTGGTGCCAGGTTTTTGTTCTTTTTAATATTTTAAAGTTCTAATCAGTTTGATTTTTTTTAATTTTATTGAGATTTTATGTGTTTTTATGGTCTTTGGGAACTGGCCAGGGTTAATTGAAAGATGGGCGGTATTTTAAATAAATGAATCATCTAACTTTTACATTATAACACTTCCTCTAACTCCACATCAGAAGTATCGATATTTCCAACAACAAAGTTAAACTCTAGATCTTGGAACCCAGGTTAAACTTTTCCGACTGTACTTTCTTTAGCTGATAAGGACCTGAGAACTGTTTTGCTTTTTATAAGACACCAGATTCATCAGAGAAGGAAGAGCAGTTATGGAGTTGATATCAGTTCGAGATTCATTTCACTGGGATCACTGTTGAATTACTACTAATATTAAATAGAGATGGGTTTAATCCCTGCTGTGCTTACTCTTTCCTGAGTTGAAGGGAAGAGCAGGCAGCTGGAATTTGCCCAACAAGAGTAGTATCTTGGTCAACCAACTGAATAAGTATGCAGTTCACCTAGTCATGATCTTATCCATTAAGTACAAATAAGTACTTAAGTGCAATGGTTTGAAACTTATCGCTGGAAAGTGGTGTACATTGGAACATAAATGTATCATCTGGCTCCAACCCCTTCTTCGCACTGATAGTTTGCCAAATGTAGCTTCTTGTTCCAACTCCTAACAATTCTGTCTTCTTCTAGGACTGCACAAATCTGCTGGGGCAGGGCATGCTTCTTTATGTTATGTAGCTGTATACCGCCATGCATTCTGAAGTACCTCTTCTTGATTGAATTCAAAGTGCTGCATAGCATTTCAGGTATTAAACATATATGCGGAATCTGTCTCACTGTTCCGTTTACTTGTAATATATAATTTGGGTATATTTAACCATGGCTTATTGAAGTGGCCTGGTTTGAGCAAATCTTAAAGTATAGTAGGTAGCTTAATGAATGGCACTATGCCTAGTACAAACAAGCTTAACAACATAGTTTAGCCTATACATGAACCAGATTACTGAAGAGACTGTAATTTTTTATTTTTTCAGTGGTTATCTAAAAGCACAAAAGAAGAGGGAGTCAGGCTATTCTCCAAAGCACCTGAAGGCAGGACAAGAAGCAACAGATAGAAACTAACCAAAGAGAGAAGCAACCTAGAACTAAGGAGAAACTTCCTGACAGTTAGAACAATTAACCAGTGGAACAACCTGCCTCCAGAAGCGGTGAATGCGCCAACACTGGAAGTTTTTAAGAAGAAACTGGACAGCCATTTGTCCGAAATGGTATAGGGTTTCCTGCCTGAGCAGGAGGTTGGACTAGATGACC